CCATTTATATTCGAACATCTTTGAAGAATTTATTTTTAAAAGCGAAAACAAACAAAAAATGCAATATAATTACAAAAATATCAATTGATCAATTTATAAAATTATTAACAACTAAAGTTTGCGTTAGATGAAATGATATGTATATGATTTATGTAAATTCAACATTCACTTTTCTTATTGTTTTATCAAAGAATTTTTCTAAATTATAAACTTTCAGTAAATTCCTATGCTTTGTGTTGTTTTCTCAAAACTTTTATCTTTTTTACAAAACTCGCTCGTTAAAATTTTAACGTTCTTGTGACTAAAAATTTTAACTGAGTCCTTTATAACTTTTCAAAATTTTAATATCAATTTTTTAATATAGAAATGAAAAAATACAAAATAAAAAAATTAATAATATAATTCATTATATTTCCATATTGAATTTATTTTTAAATGATATTTAAGATTATATTATTAAATAATAATATTGTTTATAATTTATTAATATTTCATAAAACGTATAAATAATATAAATAAATATTACATAAATAAAATTTTTTGAAAAACATTTTTTATTTCATTTTTTTTTTATTAATAATACATGAAATTTGAAAATGATTTATTATATATATTTTACATATAAAAAATATTTTATCAATATAGGAATATAATTTGATATACGAATATAATTTGTACTATATTACGTATTTAACTTTTTATTTAAATTTATTTAATTATTATATAATTATTATTTAATTATGATTACGTACTATTTATTTTCAAACGACTTAAAAGATAATAGTTTGTAAGAAAATTTCTATTTTAGTCAACATGTACTGATATCAAATTTATTACCGTATATAGATTTCGCGTGACACTAAAAGCTGATGATACCGACGTCTGCATTATGCTTCCTCTTTTTATAACCTTATATATCCATTTAGTTTATCTATGCTCTAATTTATCAGGTTCGTTATATCAGGGATTTATATACATCAGGGAATATAACATTCATAAAATCTACCTCTACACATTTTAAGAATTCGTTTTATAATTCTTCAATAATTTATATGATAATGTTTTAAATTTTTATTGAAAATCTCTCAAAAATGGAATTATTATTATATTATTAGATATTATAATATTATAATATTATTAGATATTTAGTATATAAGTTGATTACATTGTCCAATATATATCTGATTTTTTATTGTCAATATTTTCATTGTCAATGAACATATAAAATATTTTTTGTAAATTTTAATGTACTGAATATAAATTGTATCACTGAACGTAAATCATATTTCTCCAGAATCTAGTTTATGAAAAAAATCAATTTTTCATAAACTAAAAAGTTCAAAAAAAAAATTGCAATTTTTCAACTTTAAAAATGCTTGTACAGTGAATTTTATTCAGTTGCGCTTGACACGAAATGATTCTGTGGACTTGTGGATTCTCTCTAATAAAATGATATAAATAATTATTAGTAATTATTATAAATATGTTTAAATAATAATCATTAGATAGTAATTATTATAAATATGTTTAAATAATAATCAAAATTGAAAGAATAAGCATATTTTTCAATTTATTTCAAAAAATAAAAGTTTAAAAGAAAATGTTATCATGCAATAGAGCAGACTTTCTTGCTGAAGAAAATTATAAAATTATTTTTTTATTAAATTATTTTTTAATATAGAAGTGAAGTTTAGCAAAACAATGACAATGATATTCAATAAGGATAATTGCTTCATCGCGATTTTGCTATATTATGTGGCAGGTGAATTGCCATCATTGAGTAAGGGCAATTGCTTCATCGCTATGTGTTTTGTTTCCGTACCAAAAATTTTCTCAAAATAGCTTCTCTCAATCTTTTCTTAGTAAAAACATAGTTCTATCATATGGTTTGACTAGACTTTCTTTGGAAGTTAATTCTTGAAATAAATTAAAAAATAACGTATAAAAACACGTCAAAATAGACGTGTTTTAGGTATTTTTTCAAATTTGATTATTATTTAAATATAATTAGATATTTATAATCAAATAACTATTATAATCAAATAACTATATATTTATCACTTTTTTGAGAGAATTCATAAAATCATTCAACTGAATAATTATTATTATAAAAATATAAAATACTTCTAATTGCAATTTCTTTTAAAAATTAATTTTTTTTCAAGAATTATTTATTTTATGTTATTTATTTATTTTTAATGTTTTGGGAAAATATGATTTATAGATTCGTATTCAATACATTAAAGTTTTTAAGAAATTCATTCAATATAAGAAATTTCTTATGTTGAAAATTATAAAATAGAAAAAAAATTAAAATTTGTCAAAAAATATCATAATAAAATTGATATATCCATAATAATAAACATATAAATCATTTGGATAAAATTTTCGACAATTCATTTCGAACAATCATTTTTTTATATTAAATTTTATTTATTCAAATCAACAAATTATTCAACATCCAATGATGATAATTTATTTACTTAAAAATTCCATATCTAAATTAAATCAATTTTTCGATATAAAATAGAATAAAACAAATAATGTAAATAAATAAAAATAATGCAAATAAATAAATAAATAAATATTAGATTTTGCTGTAAAAATTTTTTCAGCAATATTATAATTTAAACGATTAACAACTTCAAATATTTTCGTTTTTCAAATATTTCAAATTGTTGATAATTGCTGAAGAATTTTATGTCTTCCATTAATAGATTTATTAAGTTTGTTTTATTAATAAAATTTTTTGAGATTAATACATATTATTTATAAAATATCACTTTTTTTATTTTTTACTTTTTAATTTTTAATTATTTTATGTTTGTCTTTAATAACTAAATATGTGTTTTTTATATAAAGTTTTATATAAAGTATTATTTTCTTAATTTTATAATAAAGTCAGTTCGTTTAATTAAATGCTAAAATATTTGTTGTTCAATTATTTGAATATTAATATGTATATCAAAATATTCAGATATTATGAATTTAAACAAGGAAATACTACTAATTATTTCACAACATGTATTCTTAATATAAAAAAAAAAATTAGCAAATAATTCTTCAAAATTTTGTATTTCTTAATAATTTTGATTTAACTTAATAAAATATGTGTAATTTAATATTTTTTTGTTGAATTTTTATTATTCCATTTTATTATTTCCATCCAAAACGTTTTAAATGAAAGTCATAATCATAATATATCGATGAAAAATAATTATAATAATAAGATTAGTACTTAATAATATATTATGCAATGAATTTTTGAATAAATAAAATTTTTCTTTTTAATTTAAAAAATGAAATAAAAGATATAATTTAAGTCAATTATCAAATTATTTTTTAATTTTTTTATAATATAAGTAAAATTTTTTAAAATTGAAAAATTTTAAATTTCTACTTATAAATTTTATGAGATCATCAATATCAATAATTAAAAAATTTACATACAAGCGAGACGGTTTTTTATTATTCTAACTCACCATTGAGTACGTGAACTAGAACACTAGCTGACTCGGCCGTAGACGGAGCACATGTATAATTTCCAGAATCAGCAGGTAATGCTCTGGATATCAAGAGACGCGATGTTCGTGTTTGTTTTTCAGTTACTACATTGATACCTCCTCTTTGACTGTAATTTATCACGTGATCATCTTTATACCTGAAAATTTAACGATTTTATATTAATTAAAATCATCTAATTATTATTTAAACTTCAGTTATTAATAATAAAGTATATAATTTTTATCTAGTAAAATTTGTCACGTACATAAAAGTAACATATAAATGTTAATAAAAATCGATATTATTAATTATGATTATTTAAGTAATCCAAAAATATTAAACAAACAAAATTCGTCATTTTATTGTTAATGAATGATCATTGAAAAATACCGCTAACATGTATTTAATAACAGATTCCCCATCTCTTTTCTTTTATTCACATTTTTTTCATTAATTATATAGTATATATAGTTGTATGCAAAACTTTCCGATCAGAAATTATCTGAATAGATTTTATTCCATCCTTTCTTTAAAATTTCGAATAATTCTTTTGTTCCGATATTTAAATTATTTATGCACCATTTTAACTTTCCCCATAAATATTGAATACTAGCAATTGAACAATAAATTTTTATATTTTATATTTTTTATATTAAAAAATATTTATATTACAGAAATTTCACATGACATATTCTAATATTATTATTATAGATTTTCTAACATTATTTAAATTATTTTTATTTATATCTATTCTGAAATTACAGAATATTAGATAGAATACGAATACGATATTTCTGTCCCTTTTTTTATCATATGAAATAATAATGAAATAATTATGTTTTAACATAATAAATATATAACAAAAATTAATATTGAAATAAATTTATAAATTTATATCAAATAATGAGAGAATATTTCTATTTTATGTTATTATATATGATTAAATTTAATATTACATATTATTAAATAATATGTAATAAAGTAAGAATATTCACAAAATGTAATAATAAATAGAATAATAAAATTGTAATAATATCACAAAAAATTTTTTATTAATTAAAATTTTTAAATTGCAAATAAGTAATAAAAACAATCTTTAAATTTTTGAATTTCTGATTCATTTTTGGTCTCTTTTACTTCACTATTCTTTATTAAACAATGAAAAAACTACAATTCAATCACTCATTCATTTAATCATTAGAGAAAACAATAAGAAAAAAACAGCAATTCCGATCCAATGATGATTTTTCATTTGCTATTGATGTTCTGATGTTCATTTTAGCATGTAATCGAGAACCGTCTCAATGAACATTTTCATTCACGGATGTTTATATTACGCAGTACTTGAGAATATGATATTTATGATCCAACTTCAAATCAAATTTGCGAAAGTCTAATTAAACTTACCAATAAATGAAAGACGGTGGTTCAGGAGTCTGCAATACTATACAGGTCAGATTGATATCGCTTCCGCTCTTGATGTATAGTTCTGAGTTACCATTGATCTTCGCCTTTGACACTATCAACATAATCAATTTGATGTTACACAGATCAATACATTTCTAGAAAGTACAATTGTATGATTTAAATAATTTTTTTAAATTTACTATTGTGTAATAATTGAAATTAAAAAAATTAAAAAAGTAATATTTTGTACGTTAACATAAATTTAATTAAGGTTTGATATAAAAAAATTAGAATAAAAGTTTTATAGAAAATTTGTAATATGTTTGTTACACATATAATGCAGTTCATTCTGTTATATTTTACTTAATATGCAAAGATGATTTCATCTATGGTATTCATATTGTATATATTACTCATTAATAATATAATAATTGCAATTTTTCACAAAATGAAAATGAATACTTCCAATTTCTATAATAAATCTCTATAATAAAAATAACCATAAGAATATCATGTTAAAATTTGAAAACTCAATATTTGAAAGCAGATTTAAAACTATATCAATAAAAAAAGTAAATTATTTCTATTTATTATTAAATATATATTATATATATAATATATATTTATTATTATATATAATAATTATAATAATAATATATAATAATTATATATAATATATATAATATATATTCTATATATTATATATATTAT